TTTCGGGGGGTAGTGCAGTTGTCGTAGGGAGGGAATCCTAAGGTGGGATGGTGAGAGTGAAGGTACAGCAAGTGCCTGATACGTATGTTCAGGTCAAACTTTGTAACATCTCCTTGCTACAGATGAGGTTGCCTGACTCCTAGAGAGAATGTGATTTTGGCTAGAGTTAAACCAATTTGAATTAATTCAGCCAGTGCCAATCTTTCTCTGACCTGTGCCCAAAAGCCCATCTGTGGGCAACTGGACATCTCCTCACAGAAAGGTCTCGGGGAGACGAGCCAGTCAGGGGCCATGTGGGGCTGCACCTGGAGCACTGCCTGGGGCAGATGCCTTACAGGATATTCCTGAGAGCTCCCAGGAAATACCCTCACCACCTGTTATTTTCTCTAGATTTGTAACTCGAATTAAGGCTAAGAAAGTTCCTAAAAGTGAGGTACAGATGGTGTCTCAGGAAGAAACGCGCTATGCTCATACAAAGCTCCTTCAGAGTTCTAATACTTACAAACAGAAACCTGGGGAATATGCATGGGAATTGATATTAAGGGCGTGGAGCATTGATGCAAGGAATATAAGATTAGACCAATCTGAGTTTCTTGATAAGGCCCCTCCCCTCCCTAAGCACAGATTTTTCTTTTAGTGTCTCAGCTCGAGAGGTTGAGAGAGGATCTAATAATTTATTTGGTTGGTTCACTGAAGCATGGGCTGCCAGATAGCCTAGATTAGACTAACTTGAGGTACCTGACCTACCTAAATACACTGTAGAAGGATCCATAACAATAATCCCATAGACCCACAAAAGGAGTGCCCCAAGGACATACCTTTCACTCAAACCATAAGGATCAAGTTTGTGAAGGGGCCCCAGTATCTCTGAAGACTCCTGTGACTGCTATTTTATGTGCACCAGGTTTAACAGTGGAAACTGGGCTAATGGAACTATGGCATTTGCCTACAGTGGGACTGATTGGGCCCCGCGGTGGAAGGGGGCAGGTGTCAGCCCTGAATTGAGAGAGAGGGTGGACATGGTTATCATAATGGACAGCAAGGGTTCCATAGTCATCAGAGCAACCTATCTCATGTGGACTGATGGCATTGGCTACTTAGTCAAGGTGTCCCTAAGAGGAAGTATTTGGGAAACCTGCTAAATATTTACTTTATTTATGCTCGATCAGGTGAACGGTAGTCCAATTCAGATCACCGGAATAGAGTCATGACCCCTTAGTCAATTCCAGACTTGAGCCAGTTTAACAGACCCACGACTCCTTAAGTAAAAGGGAGGCTGTGTCTCTTTGAAGAAGGACACTGCTACATCACTGAAGGTTTATACAGTTAGTCTTTCTTCTAGCCTTTCCCAAAGGGATTTTCAGCCTTTCACAAGAGTGACTGTTCACTGGGGGAAAGGAAATAATCAAACTTTTCAGGGATTACTGGACACTGGCTCTGTACTGAGACTAATTTCAGGAGACCCAAAGTTTTTGAAAGCACACCAGTCACAATGGGAGCATATGGGGACTGTCAGACCCTGTCATCTGGCTGACTGTTGGTGGCCTACCTGCCTTGCTGTTTGCTGCCTGTGCCCGGATAGCCTGTATTGCTCTACAGAGGACTACCCGGCGACCCTCAAGACTTGAAGGACTGCCAGTGTCTCACAACTGTCTCACAGGAGTGAGTTGCGCTGAACCATTGTACTGCTTTATAGATTAACTGTTTCTTATGTGAACAGCTATATAGATACATATAAAATTATTAGTGTTCGGGTTTTGTTTCTCTAGAGAACCCTGTCTAACATAACCACTGTTTGGCATGTACCCTAAAGACAAAACACATGTACATGAGAGACAAAACACCAGCGGAGGTATGTTCTCTCATGTTCACAGCAGCACAGTTCACAAAAGCAAGAAACGGTACATACCACAATGGAATACGATGCAGCCCTAAAAACAGCGATGACGGCATGAAACACCACGACATGGAAGAACCTGGAAACCATTATACGGAGTGAAGTAAGTCAATCGCAAAAGGGTAAGTATTGTGTGAATTCACTACTATAAGAAGAAACACGAATTAAACCAGTCTTAGGAACAAATGGAGAGAAGGCTACGTACTGGTCATGAACCATACATCATCTCCCTTTCGCACACAAGAGCCAACTTGAAGGAGACCTCATAGAGCCTGGGGTCAGTCCTTCAACAAGGAGGAAATGGGAGATGACCATCCACTAGGAGTCCATACAGCATCCAGACAAGCCTGCTCTAGGGCAGGGGTGTCAAACTCAATTAAAACACGGGCCTTTTGGCAACAGGCAAAATTCATGCGGGCCACACATCACATTCACAAATTTTGTTAGACTTATATTTTGAAGTGAGGATTCAGGAATATGGATAGGATAATTAAAACACTATATAATTGCTTTTATTTAAACATTTATGTGTTTATAAAACTAAAATTATTCTTTTTTACCCCAAACTTTCCAGCACTTTCCTCCTACTAGTTTTCACTTAACTGATGTTGTGACCAGAAAATATAACAAAGTAACTAATAAAAAACACAAAATGTTGGACAGCTGACAAACGTGATGCACAATTGTAATGGCTTCCCTCTAAAAATGTTAACTGGCGCTGCCGCTAGGTCTGTCTGATTCATAACAGCACAACCCAGAGTGCTCTTTTTAACCTTTTCACTATTGGGATCTGTTTGCATGACGTTGACACTCAGAGTGGCAGACATATCACTTCCAAATGTTGCCGGAACTTTCAAACGTTGTCAGCACGTTTATCCACATCCACAGCCCCCCAGGAAAGGCACTGGGCCACGTGTAGACTTGTCTTCAGTAGTTGCAGGGATAACGAGGGAATCGTGTGTACGGTATTGCCTCCATCTCCCCTAGGTGCTCTTTCCTTCATAGCAATTTTTTCTATTTTCAAATTATTTCAGAGCATTGCGGGCCACAAAAAATTACCTTGGGGAGCCACATGTGGCCCGCGGGCCACCAGTTTGACACCGCTGGTGTAGAGCAACAACTCACGGGTTGCAGCTCAAGGTGGAAATGTACTTGCATAGACTCCTTATAACCTGCAATGTCCTGAGTGCTGTCACTGGGGAAACTGACAATGTTATCAGTGCAATTGTTTTATACCCCAGGAGGAAGATTCACAATGTTGTGCTTTTTTGTTCCTGTGGGTTTTTCTTTTCCTGCCTGTAGCTTGTTTGTTTGTTTTCTGGTTGGTTTGTTGCTATTACTGGTGTAGTTGATTTTATGGGGTTTTGTTACAGCCACCAAATTAACCTTGAGTCATGCGTAGTCCACAGACATGCAAAAGGATTCTGGTCTCCTACTTAACTCTAGGCCAATCCAAGAACAGTCAGTTCTGATAACATGGCTCTGCTTGACACTCCCCTGCATGAAGTGATCACTGAAGATAAGGGCGCTACAGCAAAGTGTGGTGAAGAACGCAGGTGCTGGCTATCCATCAGAATAGTGTCTGGGGTCTGACCAAGGCTTGTATTCATACAGCCATCTAAGTGAGCAGTCAACCAAGTCCACATGGAAGCAGCACACCAGCTTGTGTGATCCAAGGATGATAATAACAAAATTCAAATATGACAAAGGGAAATGTATCGGAGCTAAAAGTATGAATCCCCACTTGGTAGGATATGGAGGACAGTGGGAGCCCAAAACCCATCTGCAGAGTAACTAGCTATTAATCAGTAGCCGCAGGCAGGGGTCTTGAACAGCCAGACAGATCGTTGTAATCGTAATTATGCTGGATCAGCCTTGATACTTACTCAGTTGACCTCCCTATAGGCCCAACCTGAATCTGTTGTACATGCAAGTATCTCTTGCTTGTTTCATGACAAACACTTCTCCCCTGTATTTTAAATATTGAGGGTGGTCTTTTCTTTCTTACTCATTATTTTTAAGAAATGCAAATTTGCATTTGTTTCTTACTTATTTTTATCTTTGTATTTTTATCTTTAGATTACTATTATTTTATCTGACACTTTATTTTACTGTTTCTATTCGGTTTCCCAGTTTGTGAAACACAGGAGTAGATGCAGAGAGATAATACGGGATGCAAGGGTTTTTAGGGGATGTGTGGGTAGCGGGTGGGAGACAGGGAGGGTGAAGGGATTTCAGGAGTAAACAGTGAAGGCAGGAGCGGGGAAGAAAGCATGAGAACTGATTGCGACCATACAACTCATTTTAAAGGTGATCCAATCATGGGGGGAAGTGTCCTAAAGTTGATGGCGGTAATGATTGTACAATTGTTCTTGATATGATTGAACTATTGAATTGTATGATACATGGATTAGTTGCCAATAAAAAATATATATATATAATAAGAATGTAATCAATACACTACACAGTACATATAGAACAGAGGAATTATTGTCTGTTCTATGTTAATACTTTCAAAACGAATTTTCTTTTCAAAATTTATTAAAAGCTTATTTGTCATCTAACACAAAGGTTGAAGCTACTTCCTCCTGTGTGTGAATGTGCAAGTGTCAGATGATGTGAGGAGTCTCATAGCAGTCAGGTAGGAGGTCCTGCTGAATGCATTTTGAAAATCTTCCCACCACCAGAGCAATATGGAAGATTAAAACCTTCCCAAGTAACTTGTCTAGACCTAGCACACCACCACCACCACCACCCTGTTACCTGACTGAAGTGTTGTTCAGGCTGATTGTGTACACATAGCCCATATTCTACACACAAATTCCTCAGTCTGTGAACTGAGAATCAAAATACTATGTCCCACAGAGACTTGTATTGGAAAAAGGGTGAGAATATCCAAGTGCCATAAAAATATATAGCAGTATCTTCATTTTCCCACAGAATCTAAAGTAACATGGTGGATTCAGAACAGGGATCAGTTGTTAATATGACGTAACCTCTTTCCCCCGTCTCCACAGAGCACTACATAATAGGAGAGACCTATTTGAGGCTGTATCGCTTCAGTCTCTTGAGGATGTCAATAAAAAAAAAGGGTGCAAACGGATTCAGGAATAGAGGCAAGTCTTTGTTATATTTATTTATTCTCCAGCTTGTACAAACTGGATGTGGAAGCATAAACGTAGTACATTTCTACCATCTTCAACAAAAATATAACCAATATGTACAATTATTGTATTAAAAATACAAAAGGGATACAGACTCCACCAATGTCTTTCTAAAAGACATACAGGTACAAGTAGTATCAAAAGTATGAGGAAATCACCAGTTAATTGTACATTCTGCACTTGACATCACAGAGCGAACTGAGATTAGCAGTCCTATGTTCTACAATTACTTAATGCTTAGATAATATTTGTGCAACTTGTGGTAGAGCTAGATTTGTCTTTCTATATGCACATGAGGTCCATAGCCTATATAATAAAACTGGCAAATAATGCATATTACAAGAAAAATTACAAATGCATAATTGACAATGTAATATATAAGCAAGTAGACAAATGCCATGATACAGAAGAAAATTATTAAATAAAGCACTGACAATGTTTGATACAGTGAAAAAACACTGCAAAATTTGACTTTTAAAATTTGAAGCTATTTACGTTTATCTACTGATCAATATGATCAGCTGAATTAAATGGAAAAAAAAAAATCCAAGACCAGCAGTCGCTCACATTTGAGTACTACTCGGATTGGCAGCTTCACTTTCCCGGAGCCTGTGCAAAAACAACACACAATAGAGTGGAGGGGTCACTTTCAGGCATAGGGTTAATAGCAGCTGTGAGCAGGTAGGCGGTTGCTACACGTCGGCCTTCTCTACACGCAGTGTCCAAAAGCCACTTCCAGGTTAGTCTTTGGTGACTAACCTGCCTTGCAAAGGCTGGCATAGCTAACCAGGTCTTTGATCTTTTATCCTGATAAAGGCTTGTTTATTCCCTAGTGTCAACTCAATCAAGGGAGGCTGTCTTGAAAGAGCAGTAGTAACAGCTCGCATTAGCTCCATCATCCCAAGCTGCTTTCACTGCCGTGCTATCCAGTTATCAACAACTCAAAAGAATAACAAAAAACCTCTCTAGAACGCTAAAGGAACAGAAATCAAAGAAAGGACTTAAACCTTGGGTTTGCCATTGATCTCAATGGATCAGACATGTTCTTAAATGACCCTGCCCTGCACTCCGTAAGGCTCAGACACAGGACACGGAAGTCCTAGTTTCCTTCCCCTGGCCGTGTGCAAACAGTTTCGCTGAAGAACCCCACCCGCCAGGGGAGAAGCGGATGAGGCGTCTTGGTACTTCAGTAATTGGCTAACATTTTAAACTTCCAGGATCGGGCACTTCACGGCGAGGCCAGGAGGACACAGGAATCACAAGCCCGGGCTTCCTGCTTCTCAAAGGGCCACGCCCTGTCCGGTATATTTGGTTTGTTTAGAAACCCAGGCCGGCAACCCTACTTAAAGGTTCAAAAATAATACTGTAATCGTTGCATGCATACATCAATCTCCGAAAACGACACAGAAACTCCTTTGGGGGCTGGGGAAGGGGCGGGGGCTTTGTAAACTAGTGGACAAGCAGGGTACTCCAAGGATGGGTTTTCCTTTTGTCTTCCTTGGTGGGTTCCAGGCCCCCAGTAGTTCAATGGCTAGATTTTCTCATTATCCCTATGAGACCAGGTGCTAGAACTGGATGGAATACACAAGGAAGAGTTGGGGGGGGAAGAAAAAAAAAAATCCTTCCAGGCCTTGAGAAGTGCAGCCAGCGCGGACAATCGCCTTGCTCTGATGGTCTTGGAGTCTGGAATGGTGTTGTGCGATGTGGCAGGCAGCAACAGTGCGAGCTCCAAGATGGCTGCACCGTGCGTTTCAAGCAACAAACTCGGAAAAGTGCCAGGGCAATTGCTTCACAGTATTTCACATGCAAAGGGGAAAGGACGCGGGAGGAGAAGAAGCCCCATGCTGTCTTAAGGCAGGGGAGGAGGCAAACTGGTCCACCACCCTCAGATGTGAGTTCCACGGCTCCGATGCTCGGGACCCCTTTTCTTGTGCTCTCCTTGCCGGGGAGTGGCTCACGCTGGATCCGGAAAAGCCTGTGCCTCAAACAGCAGACACTTGTTCATCTTCTGCAAACACACGGGGAGAGAGGAAATTCTGTGAGAGGCAAGTCACGAGAGAAGACATTTCGTGGTGTGCTGAGAAAATAAAAATAACGCAATTCTTCTTAGTATAACAGCAACAAAGGACAAAACCCTAACCCTACTGACATCAACTTGACGCTGACTCATGGTAACCCTATATGGGGTTTCCCCGCACTGTGCGTGTTTCCCAGGAGCAGACAGCCTCACCTTCCTCCCTGGAATGTCACCAGGGTTCCTGTCTTTTTGGGTATAGCTCATGCAATATCTGTTATTTTTACCTAGGCAATAATAATGATAATCTTTTAAAAGTTTTTTTTTTAAGTATAAACCATGTGCATCTTTAAAAATGATACAAGGTTCTGTGACTGGTGGTCTCCAATTGTGTGACTGGTGGTCTCCAATTACCTGGAGAAAGGGCAAGGAGAGTCAGGAATTGTGCAGGGTACAGCATGTGCGGCTAATTGCCTCCAAGAACAACTGCTCCTTTGTGCCATGGGATCAGGAGAGCTTTGACTTTCGATGAAAGACGCTATAGAAAGGGGTGAAATGTACAATAGAATTGGACATTCTCATGGACCTCAGATTTCCTGGAACCACTAGGTTGCATGAAACCATGGAAGGAGTTAACAGACTACATGGGGTATATTTTAATGAAAACATATCCCCTGAAGTCTTAGCTCAACAGAGCTAAAAAATGAGCAGTCTGGATAGATCGAACAGAAAACAGCGACTTGGAAGATGAGATGGGAATGTTAATGTGGGAGGAAGAACCCAGAAAAGGTGGGGAGAGAAGGTCGCGGGGCTCAGAGAATGTCATTGATGGTACTGGATGGTACATGACGGGAAGGTCGTTAGTGTGTGTTTTGCCATGTATGCTTCCAACCCAAACCAATCTCACTGCCATTCAGTCCAGGCTGACTCACAGGGACCCCCACCCACAGTGAGTTTCTGAGATTGTAACTGCTTACAGGAGTAGAAAGACCAATCTGCTTGCCAAAGTAGATCGCAGCCCACTACACCACCAGGGCAAAAACCAACCAACCAACAAAATACATATAAATAAAAATGTTCATCATAGTTACCTGCAAGCGACAGAACTATACTTGTGTTTTGTGGCACCCCTCTGTAATGATTATTTGTATAATATACATTTGTTATTATTTTTTTGCATTGGGCTTTTTTAAAAGTAAAAGGTCTTTTTATTGGGGGCTCTTACAGTTCACATAACAATCTATACATCAATTTTATCAAGCATATTTGTACATGTTGCCATCATTATTTTCTAAACATTTACTTTCTATTGAGCCCTTAGTATCACAACTCCTCTTTTTTCCCTTTCCCCCACCTCCAACATCTTGATAAATTATAATTATTATTTTCATATCTTACACCGACCACTGTCTCCCTTCCCCCATGGTTTTGTTGTTCACCCACCCTGGGGGGGTGGGGGTTATGTGTCGATCATTGTGATCGGTTCCATCTTCCTCCCCTACTCTCCCACCTTACCCCTACTCTCCTGGTATCATGCTTTCACTCCTGTTCCTGGATTCCGTGCGTCCTGTGCTCATGATAGTGGGGGGGTGAGGGTGGGTGGGGGTGTTGGAAGCTTCAAGGAACCAGAGGAATATTGTGTTTCATGGGTGCTATACTGTGCCTGGTTAACTCATCCCTTCCTTGTGCCCCCTCTGTAGGTGATGCCCCATTGCAAACAGAAGGGTTTGAGGTCTCTGCTCCGACCTCCCTTGTTCTCAACAGTCTGTTTTTTTTGGTTTGTTTTGGGTCTTCTAATGCCTGTTACCCAATCCCGTTGGCACCTCATGATTGCACAGGCTGGTGTGTTTCTTCCGTGTGGGCTTGTCGCTTCTCTGCTAGATGGCCACTTGTTTAAGCCTTTGGGCCTCTGCCCATGCCCTCCCACAGTGCAAGAACACTTGGTTCTAATAACTTGGCATTCTGTCATGCTCACCCTTCCATCACTATCACTGAAGACAAAATGGGTGCATAAGCAAGTGCGGTTTAGAAAGTGGATGGTACTTGGCTATCAAAAGATATGACAGCATCTTGGGTCTCATAATAAGCATTTTAAACTCAAAATTTTAAAAATTGCTGGTGGACATGATCCCCTTCTTTAAGCTCAATCGAGCAATGGCAAGGTAGTCTTGTAGATAGGCAATAAAAAGATAGAGAAAGTCTATCTGTATCAGACTTTCATTTGGAACAAAGTAGAAGTCCAAACAACACTTTCACATAAAATTTTAAACACCCAAGTTTTGTGTTTTCAAAATTCTTGAAAATAATATAAACTTGTGAATAAGAATTTATTAATTTCCTTAAAACAGAAGTACTTCAATTCCAGTGGGAGATAGACATGAGAAGGAGTTGTGTACCCAGTTCATTACATATGAACTCTTCCCCTTGCCTCCAGTTTTGTGGGGAGGAGGTGAAAACAAAACAACGAAAGTTAAAGCAGTCTGTCTGTCCTATGTTTACAACTCTGAATAAAGAATGGTTTCCACTTTGGCATACGGTAAGAACCGCAGCTATGTGCCTGGTAGCAACAGTGTGAAGGGAGGGGACACTGCAGAGGGTACATTGGCCCTAAGTTGATACCCTTTGACAGTAAGGTCCGGAGAATGTGCACATACCATCCTCCTCAGCGGAGAACCCTGGAGACTGATAGGGGGCAAGGCGGGGGTCCGACTCATTTGGTTTATGCCACTGAGGTTTGTTCACGGGCCGGTTGCTGGGTGGATGCCCCTGCGGCTGCTGCACGGGAGAAGGCCCGGGCGCTTCAGAGGTGCGGGCCACCATCCGAGATCTCTGAAGTGCTACGTTGTAGTCTGGCGGCTTCCTGGCTGAATGAGAATGCCCTTCTGGAAAGTCCGTGATGGGGATTCCGATGTAACCTGGGGGGGTCGGTGGGGGCTCCCGATACCTGCCCTCCTTCCGTGCTGGAGTAAAAACAAGGCATCAGCAATTAGAAGTCTTGTGCTATTTCATGCCAAAGGGTTGTACATGATAATTATGGGGAGGGGGGGGAAGCAGACAGTATGCACAGTGTAACAGTAAAGGTGATTCTACTTGGTATGGGAAAAGGTGTGTGGGAAGAGATGGATGTTAACTAACATCTTGTGGTTGAAATAATTGGTCAGAGATGCTACCAGATGTCTAAGTAGCTTTAGCTTTAAATGTGCTAGTTCACAACTATCTTCAACTATCAAATAGCAATAAGGTTACTATCTATCCTTTGAGCTTATCGCAAGAACAAAGCAAAACAAATCTAAGAGGTATCTAGTGCCATGTCTGGAACATACGACCTAGCTTCTGTATGACTCCTGATGACCCCGTCCATGTCAGAGTAAAACTGTGCTCCACGGGGCTTCCTCTGGCTGATATTCTCGAGTGGGTCACTAGGCCTTTCTCCCCAGGAATTTCCGGGTGGACTTGAACTGCCCACTTTTTGTTGAGCAGTCAAATGTTTACGGCTCCCACTGCCACTCCACTAACACCAGCTCCCGGGGAACGTTCTCTCTCCTCACGTGTCTTGCCTGCCCCAAAGACCAGGCAGAGGAGTCCAACTTTGCTGGGGCATCTACCATCGCCAGGCAGAAAGCCAGTTTCAAGAATAACTTCTAGGTATCTGGGCCTCACTTTGGAAAATAGTAAATTAAAAAATATTTAAAATACTACCCCCCAAAGATGTAAAATTTCAGGATACGTATTTTTCTTATAATCCTTTTATGAATGCTGTGGCCTGAAATGTGTAAAGGCACATTAAGTGTAAGTTTCCCTTTCTTGAACTTCTAAAATTCAACTGGTGGGAATGAAAAAACAGTATTCTCCTATTTGCAATGTAAATTTGGAGCACAGTTTAAGACCGTGCTTTAAGAAAATAGCAACTCCAAAATATGTATTTACTGTTCTCTCCTTATTCATCTTCAAATGACATTACATGGCATTCACCAGTGATAGTATACACAGTATAATAACTATAAGTTCTCTACTAATAAAAGTGAGATCTGTGATCACATCCCGGAATTTTCCACTCTACGTCCTATGTTCTTTCCCCTGCATTTTAATTATGCAGATGGTGAAGAGGGAAATGACATGCCAGAAGGACTGAGGGAACACGAGCGCTTTTGCAGCAGAAAGAGCAGCATTTTCCACATCCATATGCAGTCACCACTCTAAACACTGGTCTAAATGTTTTGCATAGTTCATTTAGTCCTCTTAATAACCCTACCCCATGAAGCAGAGATTATCAAACGCATTTGGCAGATATGGGAAGAGGAACCGTTTAACCTAGTCCAATGTCATAAAACGAGTAAAGTGGCAGAACGGGGATTTGAATCCCAGTCGGCCTTAGGAAAGCCCCTCTTCCTCACTCATTGCACAGTTTTCCAGCACACACTCTTGTTCTAGTGTCAGAGGGGGTTCATTCTTTACCACAGACACTGAAATCAGTGGGGAAAAAATTGAGTATGCAATATTCTAAATCAAGAGATGCAAACAGAATAATACACAGCTTAAGAGTTTCAATGAAACAAAAGTTCTTTTAGAAAGAAGGGCATCCTCCCTGATGACTTTCGTGATAACCCTTTCCAGATTGGTGACACATATCACTCAGTCACATTTTTGGCCTCTCAGGTTTCTTGGGAAGCCACTATCCAGGATGTAGTGACTTGTGACACCACAGGGTGGCGGGGGGCTGTGGGGCCCTGCATAACTACGTGAATCTGAAGAAACTGGCCTCACTCCACTTCCCCTATCACCAGAGGCCACTCTGGGGGACATATGTGTTCTATATAACTGTATCAAAATTCACATGCTTCCTCTGCCCCCGCCTCGTTTTTCCCCCTCTAGATTTCAGTACGCCTTCCATTACTGAAAGAAAACACATGGTATCAACAAAAAATACAAAGCAGAAGAGAGGCTGGTCACAAAGGGGTTAAAAATCGCCTCCAGACTAGATGATATTCATGACAACCTACTGATTCTGTCTGTCAAGTGTTCTGTTGACAAAAATGGGATATGCCACTGAGCCTACGCTCTTAAATGGTTGTTCACGTCAAAATCTGAAATTGGTTGTGACTTTAGAAGTCCTCCCTGTATAGCAACAGAGGAGGCCCAAGGGCTCTGCACCGTCTCTACCCTACAGGCTGACTGCGCCCACCTACAAGGGTGCTGCAGAAGGAAGGTCTGCTTCTGAAAGGGTGACAAGGAAGAAGAGCCCTGCACTCTGGAGCACCCGGGGCCACCCGTGTCATCAGAAATGTCTCCGTAACAGTGGGCTTTTTGGAGTCCTCCAGCCAGGGGCAGTCCCTGGGTGGTGCAAATGGCCAGTACGGCCGGAGTCCACTCAGAGAGGTACCTTCGAAGAAAGGTTTGGTGAGCTAATTCTAAAAAGTCAGCCACCGAAAACCCCGTACAGTTCAGTTCTACTCTGACACACAGGGCCACCAGGGACTGAAGAGGCAGTGATGGCAAGGGTGGTTTCTGTGTAACGATGGACAAAATGAGGGAACAACTACAAACACACATTTTACTTTCCAACCGATTAAAACCATATCCAGGTGTGACAAAGCAATCTGATTTTTTGGGCTTACCTATAAGCCCCTTTGTAGTACTGGGGGTCACGGCCACGTGAGCTGGCATGGGGACTGGCTTGGTTTCTTCCGTGGTCACCAAAGTCATGCTGCTGCCTTCAGCTTCGAGGGACACATCTTTCCCACCTCTTCGCTTTATTGTGCCCGTGTCCCCCTCCGTGTCTTCTCCCCAGTAACCCGTGGATGATGCCCAGCTTGCCCGGGACTGGGCTTGTTCAAGACTCTCTTTACTTTGATTCTGCCTGTTATATTTTGTGCTATGATCAGAAAACATGATCTGGTCCATATGGCTGCTCGAGGCCCATAAACCTGCAGGGTCCCCTGAATAATCAAAGTGAGTGTGCCCAAACGGAATGGTTTCCCAGCTCCTCTGGTGCTGGATAGTTTGTATGTTATCGTGGGAGCCACTTGAGCATGAAGTCCAGCTCCCACGGCCACTGTCTGCGGCATCAAGGGACGCGCGGTCCCCCTGATCTTGGGAAAGTTCTTCTGTGCTGGGAGAAGAGATTACTGTGGCTGTCGCATATAAGCCCCGGCTTTCAGACATTGGTGCATAGGACCTAAGGGGCAGAAGAAATGAGAAAGAAACAGGACCCATGAACATGGTTAACTACAACTTATAAAAGCGAAATGCCCCTCAGACCCCAGAAAGGTGCCGCAAAGGACCACTGACTTGCATTATCCCCGATTCTGCCATGTTCAGGTTTTTCAACTTATGATTTCATAAAATATGCAAAGATGGGCAAGAACAACTGTGTTCCAATAAAGAATATGCATCGCAGAAGCGTTGCCGGCACAGGAAAAATAGCCTTGGTACTTTAAAATAATCTAGAAATTGTGAAAATTAGAACTGGAATGGGAGAACTTTCCTCAAGCATTATGAAAAGTAAACAGAAATGTGCATCTAAGAAGAAAGGCAACTCGGTTATACAGAAAGCTGGATGCGGGATGTAAAAGAACATTGAAGAAAAGCCTCCTACCCTAAGCTGTACTGGTCGGGCTCAATCATGGCCCGCCTCTCCATCCGGCCCACACCGAGGCTTGTTTCCACAATGCTGACAGAGTGTCTTTGGTGCCTGTCGTCATGCAGCGGGGCCGGCACTGAGTCGAAGGAGGAATTGCTGCCGATCCTGGACCGTGAAGAGATCTCACTGTGACCCGAGTCTGAGAAATTATCCACCGTGCCACTAGGCCCCAAAGCATAATCTGCACAGAAAATACAGCCATCGAATTACTCACTCCGGGCTTATAACAGTGCAATGAATAATGATAATAAGATCTACAAAACAGAAACAAAATGCAGGCAAAGATACCAACACTGACATGGGGGTTGGGGAGGGGCACAGAGCCTTCTACTTGTGGAGATCTGGTGGTAGGAAATTCAGATAAGCATTTACTCTAAGGAACCTTCAACTTGTCATTGAAGTTTTAGGGGGAAAATGCAAACATGGTATATGTGACAGCAAGTGTCATGGTGCTACTATCTATTCTTAGCTCCCTCACTCAAACGAGAAAGAGTGATGGTTAACTCTGAGCAGACTTAAAAACATAACTGAACATTCCCCCCCAAAATGTAAAGTTGCTAATGTGTTCAATTTTCAGAACTAAAATATTTGTAGTATACTTAAAATTTCAAGTGGACATAAAACAAACAAAAAGCAAAAAAAAAAAAAATACCTTTAAGACTTTTCATTGGAATTTTGCCATTTGTTTTTTTCAATACTAATAATACATTATATGAATCACATAAAATCAACTAACTATTGAAGAATATGATGCTCAAATCTTCGTATTTCCCCCAGACTACCACCATAAAACGTCTTTAAACAGCTATCCATTTTCTGACCTGGAAGGACCTTTAACTCCTTTTATTGATAAAAAAATAATTTTGAAATTCACCAAGAAGACATTTTCAATGAAAAAATCCCAATCTTCTTTCCCATTACTCATTTTTTTTATACCATGACTACACGTTTCAGATGCTACTTAAAATACAGCTTTAATATATTTATGTGGAATGCAAACTTTATAATATCACCTAACAAAAAATTAACTCGAGATTATCTGAATGTTTCACATCTACTCTCTACGTCATACTTCCCTGGGTATTTTCAGTGAGCTGTGGATTCCTGATTTTCCCTAAGTATTTTCAGTGAGCTGTGGATTCCTGATTTTCCCTAGGTATTTTCAGTGAGCTGAGGATTCCTGATTTAGTTTGTAAAGTTTGCACAGGTCTTGATAAGAGTTAGTGTCTTCATCTCTGAAACATCTTTTTAAAAAAACCCACCATGTAAACGCTGACAAATCAGACTTGAAGCCATCTCCAGTGTGCTGAAACAAAGTAACAAAACAAAACACCGCTAGAAAAATGATTCATGGGGCGCTGTTCATATACGGAGGCATACTCCCGTTGTCTTTAACCAATGAGACGACTTCCTCCTTTCCCTCCCGTTTTTTGGTTCTATGAACCCCACCTATCCCATAGGCCCGCGGTGCATTGTTATTCTTGTTACTGTTCTCACTTCCAACAGAAGAGGAAGAACTGGTTAAGTCCAAATGCCCGGAGCCAAAAGATCTCAGCTGATTGCCACTGCCACCTAACCACAGGACGAGAAAAGAGTTTAGATGTATCCATTTAGTGAGGAGAGTCAGACTGCACAGATGGCTGAAATATCTAAAAAGGAAAGCGCAAAAAGGCCTGACTGTGCATCCGGCAGACCCAGCACTGGATTAACCTTCTTGGCCGTCTTCTAGGGAAAATTAGTTCTTAACCCTTGACTACTGACATTAACAACTCAAGTGCCACTGAGCCCATTATGATTATTAGTGACCCTATAGGGCAGAGTAGAATTTCCACTGCAGGCTTCCCAGGTAGAAAGCTTCACCGTTGTCCTGTGGTGATGTAGTTGGTGGGTTTGAAATGCCACCTTTATGGATACCAGTCTAACTCATAACCAGAGTGCCTTACTACTGGCTTACATTTTGCTAATTAAAAGGTAATAAGAGGGAGTGAAGGAGGGTCGGTGGTAGAAATTGATCTACGATTCTAATATGAGACAGTATCAGCAAGAGAGAAGCGAGTGTTAAGTTGCCTAAAAATCAGTCTTTTTAACATGAAACAAGAGGAATGGTAATCAAGACCTGTGCTAACACAATGATAAAATAAATCAGGAAGATACCCAGCTTTTCTCAAGCTTTTAAAAACTTTTTTCTCTAAAACGTTACGTAATGTAAATTTAGTCAGGATACACAAACGCAATTTTAAAAAGGCCTTCTGAACTTAGACTTTTCCGATGAGGGTCTTTAAAAGGTGTGTAAAAAAGTGAAATGAAAAGAGCATACAAAATTTCCACAAGCCTTTGAGCCCCCTTGCATTACTGTAGGTAAGATTTTTAAAAAGGAACTACTAAAATTCTTCCAGATTTGGAAAGAAACACCTACGGTACATTGGGATATTTTTAAAATGACTTTATAATATTAGAAATTGCACACAGCGAGTGCAACATAGCTGAAAAGCAAAACTGTCATATAGAAAAGAAGTAACCAGCCTACCTTTCCTGGGAGAGCTCTGTGGAGAAGTGGGAGGGGAAGACAGCTGCAACGACGCATTGGATATCATCGTATCTTCTGCGTGCTTCTTGTGACGTTCCAAACTTCCTTCTTCAGACAAAGAGAGAATTTTCTTTAAAGCTTGTGGTGAGTTTATACCTAAAAGGAAAGCCAATACCTCAAATGCTGCTTTTAGGATGGAAAAAGATGTAGCATTAGTTACTAAAATACTTTTTTGAAGTAAGAATTGTACCTCAAGGAAAATTATTTAGCCCCCGGGGGCAAACAACGGTAACGTGCGTAAAGGGAGACAGCGGTCGGTCGGTGTAAGGTATGAAAATAATAATAATTTACAATTTATCAATGGTTTATTAGGGTGGGGGAAGGAGAGAAAAAAGAAGAGTTAAATAGAAAGTAAATGTTTAGAAAATGATGATTGCAACATATGTACAAATATGCTTTATACAATTGATATATGGATCGTTATGAGCTATAAGAGACCCCAAAGTAATTATCTTAAAACAAATTATTTAGAAGAAACTGTTCATTTATAGCCAAAAGGCCACACTTTGAACGTCTGAGATGGAGGCACCAAAGGTTAAAACGATAGTGACTCATGTGTGCTACTCCATCCAGTGACATAGTCTAGGTCTAATATAACATCAAGTTTTCACTTATTACACTTTAAATGTAATAAGTGAGGGAGAAAGACATAAACAGTCACCGTCTTGGAAACCCACAGGGGCAGTGAGTTCCCTGTCCCCTCGGGTCGCCATGAATCGGCAACGACTCAGTGGCAGTGAGTAGGCAGGAGGTTGTAGCCTTCATGGTGGACACTGGCATGATAGAAAGACAAGAAATGTCCGTAGTCTGAATTCGGACCGAGCCCTATAAGGATGGATATTGAGAATACAGGAGATATACAAACAAGCAATTCAGCTAGTTTGTGAGAGGGGGAGTAATAAAAAATATCTGAAAGCGACAATGTCAAGTAAAAGATGTTCTTTTCTCAGCTCGCTCAGTCTCAACTCACAGGGCACCTACTGATGATAAAGTTAGGAGGACTCTTCCCCAGCTCTCAAGGATGAGTGGTAATTTAGCAGAAGCTCAAGGTGCTATAGTTACTAATGTCTAATTTTGCCCAAGAAAGACTCTGCTATGAATTTTCAAATATATATGTATATATATATGTGTTGTTGTTGGACTCTTACAACGCTTGTCACAATCCATACATCGCTTGCATCAGGTGAATTTGTACACATGTTGCCTTCATTCTTTTCTAGACATTACTTTCTACTGAGTGCTTGGTATCAGCTCCTCTTTCCCCTCTCACCCCCCACCACCCCTTGATACCTTGTCATTGTTTTCATATCTCACACCGACCTGTCTCCCTTCCATGCTTTCTGTTGTTCTGCAGCATGGAGAGGGTTGTACGGTTACGTGTCGATCACTGTGATCGGTTCCCCTGACTCCCTTCCTCTCCCCCTCTCCTATCACTATTCCCACCCCTGTTCCTGGATTCTGTGCAGCGTGAGCTCCCATCTCTTATCTATACCTGTGTACAGGTTCCGGTCTAGTCTGAATCGAGAAGCAGCACTGGACATTTTTTTAGTTAATGTTTCGTTTCTTTTTTTAACATTGCTTCTGTACACATATACATAGAACTAGATTTTATAGATGATGATTTTGTTGACATCTTTTAGATAAATGAACTAGGAGAGGTATTATTTAATAGAAAATATGAAGCATGATTTGGCTCTGTCCCATGCAGAAATTACTTGCATTTCCTCCTCAAGTTACAGAATCAGTGATTCAACAAATAAAAAAATTACCTCCTGGTACTGACCTGACTTAAAAATATTCTGCCTAAATTCTAGTAATTCACTGATAATATCACGTTTTAGATAAAACTATTTTAAATTATTTGTATGGACAAGGCAACTTTGTATTCAATAACAGTTCAATTAATAAAAGCGTAACTTCCCTACCCCATGTCCTGCCATGGTGAATAAACCAGATTAAATGATATACCGTTTTAAAAATGGTCCCTCCCCCGGTAAAAGTACAGTTACACTTATCACAACAGAAAACCTGCTGCCCCTGAGTGAATTCAGACTCTGCACCCCCATGAGCTGAATTGTGGAATTGCTCCATAGGGTTTTCTTGCCTGTACATTTAATGAAGCTGGTCACCAGGGCCTTTCTTCCATGGTGCTGTTAGGTGGATTTGAAATGCCAACCTTTAGGTTAGTAGTTGAGTGCAAACCATTTGCATCGCCCAGGGGCATGAACATTGGTGTTTTATAAGAATTCACAATCATAAAAACCTCAAGAGAAGTAGATAAGTTTACCCAAGACAAACATTGTTTTTTTTCCTCCCCTAATCGGAAAACACGGCAGTGAATAGCAACAGAAATGAAAATCGAGTCAAACACTTACCAAAAGGCGGGAGATCCTTGACGGGCACTTTCTTTCGCGAGGGATACAGGGACACAGCGGGAACCTGAAGTCCTTGGCTGATTTTATGTGGCGGCGGCGGCTGCTGTGTCTGCGGCTGGGGCTGTGCTTTCTGCTGTGACCCTGCCCTTGGAGCCACAGGGGAGGTCTCCGATTTGACAGGCTTTTTGTCACCAGGGTTTTTAGGCACTGATAAAAGGTTAGGTTTGGAAACAGGACAAGCAATTCAAAGTGTGAGTTGCTATGAACAAGGTAATTTTAGAACTGCAAGAGTGCTTTCTGCCATGAGAATAATACAGAACATGTCATTTTTCCTGCTGCCAGGACAAAGGATAGAAATGCAATGGGGACTGGGTGACAAAGAAGCGACAACCAATCAAACAAATAAACCTAGTTATAGAAAACATTAAAGGCATGGCAGGACAACAGTACTTACTTTACGGAACTTGCTATCTCCACATAGTAAAAACAGAACTACAAGGACAGGGCTACTTCAGGATGCATGCATATTTATATAAACAGATACATGATAAACACGACGAAAAGAAAATCTTCCAAATTTTTTTCTATAACCCCGGCAAACTTCCAGGGCATGTCTAAGTTAACATTTCATTAAATAGATGGCATTCGTGACAATCTTTCTACTAATGAATTCCCCACCGAGGTAAACGATTGTCTGTGTTAGTCAACGGTGGCCAATGCTGCCAGAGATTTCTCAGTGTACAGTCAGGGGTAGCCAGATGGTAAACCATGACAACAGGGCAACCGACTGTTACACGGGAGAGTCTTCATCCTTAAAACAATCCCAACACATGTATGGGTCTGCCACCTTACATCTAAGGAAGCTGACACAGGGAGGTGAAATCATTTGTCTGTGTTCGCATTCTAGTAAGAACCAAAAACAGGATCTGAACTCACACTAATTAAAGCTCCAAAAGGAGAAACTCTTCACCATAGAGCGATACTCTCAGAGGATCTCAGGCAAATTTAATAACGAGAATCTTAAACCTCTAACTAACATTTACATTTTTTCCCTAATTGTCTTATTAGGGGCTCATAGAACTCTTACCACAATCCATATATACAGCAAAAATGTAAAGCATATTTGTACATTCACTGCCCTCATCATTCTCAAAACATTTGCTCTCCAACATTTAAATTTCATAGAAGGTATTTTCAAGCCCACCCATAGAAGGTCCCCAATGGTCACAAATAGAAAATGCCTCTGCCTTGTAAGTGTAGATACCCACAACAACAACAACAACAACAAAGCGAGAACACAGCTCCATTTCAAGCCTGGCCAGAGTTTTGAAAGAACGAGAACCTGTTTATTAGAATGAGCGGCAGTTCGTTGTGTCACAGAATTATTGCTCTGGGAGTACAGGGGGTGGGGGGAATAGGAGTTGACAGAATTGATGACTCTATAACCTCACTTAATGGGCTCGAACAACAGAACTCTATGTGAATGGATACATTTGATATGTAAGTACGGCAACAAATAAATAAATTAAAGAAAGGGCTCCTGGAGGTAGGGTGGGGTGGGCTAAAGGGAAGCTGATACCACGGGGTTCAAGAAGAAAGACAACGGATTTGTGTTAGCATTTGTACAATATTGCTTGAGGTGATGGAACTATGGAGTGTTATGATATCTGTAAAAGTTCCCAGTAAAAGGACTAAACAATTTTATTGCCCTGGTGACAGCTGAATTGGTTACTGGGTGCTGTCCAAATTAAAGGTGTAAATGGCGGCCAAACTACTGAGATTCTGTGCTCTTCTATCTAGTGGATCCCATGAGATTTTTCTATCACTTCGGGGGTCTCTCTATGAGAAGGTAATGGAGACAAAGGGGCTGTTCACAACCCCTGAGCTGCATTCCTTGCACAGTGCACTGCTGCTTGTAGGAAGTAGCCTGAGCTAAGAAGCCGCAGTCATGCTAAATAAGCCTACCATACCACCCTTCCCGTGTGCAGGGCACAGACTGGCAGGAAAGGTCAGGGAAAGGAGAGTCTATCTCAGAACTGTTACTATTTCCCCCTTTGTGCTCAGCCCTGTTTCAAAGCCAACCCAAACCATGGCACAAGGTAGAGGTCTGTCTTCTGAAAGTCAGAGTCTAGTTGCTTGAAGGGAAAACCCCCAATAAAACAAAAACAACTCACACGTGTTGGTTGCTGGCTCACACTGCAGGGATAAGGTCTGAAGGCTCTCCTCATCCATTTCTAACTCCAAGTTGGACAGGTACTGCTTCACTTTTCGTGCCATCTGGGCATCTTCATATAGCTTTTTGGCATTGAGGAAGGAACTACGACGTACCCGCTTTTTGTGACCACCTGTCTGAGCAACATCTAGCACTGTTGCATTTGTACTACCCTGGCTGAGAGACCTGGAAGACGAAAAGGTAGATATGCAGCTCATTCTAGCATGGGATTGAAACACGCCCAGACGTACAAAAATAATCTCCCTTCAAAAGGTTATATGCCTCATTCAAGTGGGTAAACTTCTCTAAAGAGAATACGGAATAATATAGATTTACAAATTTTAGTTAAAATTATACATACATACACTCACTCCTCACTTGTCAACATGGTTGGGTCATTATATGAAAATTGTACTATTTAAAATGGAAATGAAGAATCACCAAATTAGCTCATTACATTACGCAACTATCAAAACACATCAGGAGATAACTGCCAAATCGCACCGATACATGACTGCCAAACCGCCAAGAATCATAGCCTAATCAAGTCCAATTAACTTGAATGATCAAAATCAGCTTACTCCTGCCTCACACTTCAGCATCTGTTATTGCCAAATGTACGGTTAATGTACAAAGTAGTCAGTTATTTTCCTACTGCCATTAACATGGCATGCTGGCTACGAGATGGTTGGTAAGTGAGGAGTACGGGTGTGTATGTATACATGTGTTTGGCACCTGTTCTATTCTAACTAGGAAACTCTACTTTCCATATCTGTAGAGTCTTCAAGGCACTTCTCTAACAGAAGGCAGCAAAAACTAACAATTATCTACAAGGGTACACCAGTACTATCATGAAGAGTTACAATATTAAGTTTATTTCTAAAAAGAATGCTTTCAGCAGTCTTAACAAAATTAGCTACAAAGTTCATAATTGCTTTTGTACTCTTTGGGTTGAATGTGGTGAGTTTTTAAGTAATATGGTCAATCTGTTAATAAAATGGTCATGCAAATACAAACATATGTAAGGAAATTATTTAGCAAATGAGTTGTTAAAGAATTATTTTTAAAGATGATTGGTTCATAGAATGAAAACAGTCGTTAGTTGAGCTGTAAAAAATTTTAGTTTTAACAGCTGGGGGCACTGTTTACATCATATGTATTAACTTCTCAGATAGATGTGCAATACTATTTTAATTGCACAATTTTCCTTTTAATAGTTATTCCCCCTCCGCTTCAGGTTTTTCCAATTTTAAAAAACACAAATTACATTACAATACATCTTTCTGTAAGCTCAGAAGCATGCCTGCCCATATATATTCCCCAGAACGAACATCCGTCATGTCACAGCTCTCAAGGATCATGACCTCAAAAGCAAAGCCCCCACCATTAAACTCGAAGTCAGTTTGCCATCTGAAATCTGCTAGAGCAAAAGGGTTACGTGGGGGCGTGGGGGGAAGCAAGAATGCAAAGCAAGAGAAACTATGACAGATCAGAAGACAATGCAATGAGCGGAGAAGAATTGTGTGTGGGACGGCGAAGTCTTCACCACTTACCCCAAACTCCTCCACTTCTTCTTCCTGTAAGTGAGAGCCATGGAGATTGAGGCATGGGTGTAGAAAGAGAGACAGACAGATCACAAGCTCAGAAAGGAAAGACTAGACTCCTGGATAAGCAGTACTAGAAGCCCACAAAATTATACTGCATCATCACCTCTCACACACAGTTTTACCTGAAACACTTTTCGGGCTCAAAAGAAAAATGTTTTAATTTTTTTGTTCTAAAGGAGTAAATGTCTCTACTGACTGAATCCATTTTTTTTTTGAGGACATGAATAGCTACATCCAATGGACAGTGAGACAATAGTGTTTGGTTTACTTACATATTTTAGTTGAGACAACCCAGCGAGAGAGAAAGTGAGGGCTCTCTACTCGGATAGGTACTGTCTAGAAAACTCAAAGGGGCAGCTTACTCTGTCCTCTCAATAGGGTTGCTATGGAGAGTTATCCAGTTACGAGTTTAGCTCTCAAAGTCAATGTTCTGAAACGTAAGGATTTAAAAAAAAAATTGTACCTAATGTCAATTACAAATATTTGATGACAAATGGCTTCCACTGCCAATCAAAAGGACATGTGATGTGGGTCTTAATTCTAATATCTCATCATTAACAATTCAATGGAAATTCTCAGCATGTATTAATAAAATATCTGCCATGTTACAAATACAAATGCTCAAATGTTCCTGCTCATAAATCAACAAGTTCTAAACTCGACCTTCCCCAATTCCACCTTTGCCACTGCAGGTGAGAGACTCACCTAGTCCTGAACATGAGGGCAGGGTCCATGTTGACTGACGCCATTCGGCCAACATGACGAATTTCTTTCGCAATCATCCTTAACTTCTCAAAATTGACCAGCCCATCTACTTTCGAATCATTTCCTGCAATGGGCCAGACACAACACAGGAGATCACAATGGCATGTACTCTATGCTGCCACGCGTGAAGGTGAAATGCGTCTGTATTCTTACCTTCATGAAGGAATGTGAGATCCTTCTTGATAACCGGGAACAGTGGGATTATGGGAGGCTGTAAATTCTGACTATTCAGAACATTGCGATACTTTGCCATGTTTCTGGAAGGATCAAACAGGTCCTGGAGGTCTTGAAACAGCTTTTCATATTTATTGGGAAGTTTCTCCCAGGTGGTTCGCAGTCTTGCCACTGGTGCCAGGTTCAGGCCACTGAGAATAAAGGCAAGAATGGCAGTTGCACAAAATTACACGAGCCATCCTTATGAAACAGAGCAAGCAAAACAGTGTTGTTTACACTACGTAACAGCTCTGTGTGCATGCCTTATAGATATGCGTATACATTCACACACATCTACTGTCAGAAGGGTAACAAACAAGCAATGATAATGCTGGTGATGACAACAGGTAAGAGCTATAGGGCTTTCCTCTTTTTCCCTTTATGCCCTCCTGGTCCATAGAAGCATGTGTGCACCACACACACACACACACACACACACACACACACACACACACACACGCGTACACAAAGTGTTCTGAGGATAGGCTTTGGGTTGTTTTCTCTCCATACACAGGGCCCTACTTGGCACACACATCACAGGCATGGATCAAGAGGATCGGGCAAATACTCTGTAATAAAATAAAAGCGTCATGATGGTAATGAGTACGTGACTTAACTCTAAACAGAAAGAATGCCACATAGCCAATTGCTTCGGTTTGTAATGTATTTTGTTCCAGCTTCAATCTCAGCAGAAAGGAAGGAAAATTAACATGTGCTAGGTATTTTCTTTGTATTTGTCTGATGGAATTCAACATGCATTTATACAATTGGATCTTCTTGGCAATATCCTTGAGGAACGGTTACTGTCCAGATAAAATTCTGAGGTCCATAGAAGTTCAATTAATTTGCTCAAGGACAAAGATTTTAAAAAACAAGAAAAAAGAAAGGTGGATTCCGAATCAGAATGTTAGAGATTTAAAACTGAGATTTGGGATTACAATTCAGAGAAACAGAATTGTTCGTGATGATTTAATTAAATACCACTGAATTTACTCAAAACACATGGCATTTTCTGCACCGTGTTTTAATCTGTGAAGTCAACTGGATCCCGACACAATCTTGCTCCTCTTACCTGATGATTGCAAACATTGAGTTAAAGTTCTTGCACTCCCTACAGTGTAGTGCTATCTTGATGAAATGTTTAACGATCTTCATCCTCTTCAGTTGGTTTGTTTCTCTCAGAATTTCAGATGCCACCCAAAATGTTTCTTGATTAATGACGTCTTCAAATTTCTTCAGATTGGCACAGCTGTTTTTTGATTTGAGTTTAAATAAATCATCTATATACTCAGTGGGTTCGATGTTGCGGAAGAGTTCAAAATTTCGCATGGAGAGCTGGGTGGCAACTTCAACGGTGCTGAGTTGCAGGAGGGAAATCTGACTCTCTCTCAACAACTCCTGAGCATCTTCATCCGAACAAAGTGTTTCTGTTTCCATGTTGTTTTTCAGGTAATACCTATGAAGAACAAACAATCAGGTCAGATGTAAAGCCCAGCCCAAGCAGCAGTACCACACCATTCCATGAAAGAACAGGCTATTTTTAAAAAAAATCATTTTATTAGGGGCTTATAAAACTCTTATTACAATCCATACATACATCCATTGTGCAAAGTGCATTTGTACATTTATTGCCCTCATCATTCTCAAAATATTTCCTCTCCACTAAGCCCCCGGCATTAGGGCCTCATTTTCCCCCTTCCCGCTCCCCACTCCCTTATGAGCCCTTGATAGTTTATAAATGGGTATTTTGTCATATCTTGCCCTGTCCGACGTCTCCCTTCATCCACTTTTCGGTTGTCTGTCCCCCAGGGAGGAGGTCACACACAGTTCCATGTAATCGGTTCCCTCTTCCCTACCCATTCTCCCTTTACCCTCCCTGTTTTGCCACTCACACCACTGGTCCTATAGGGCTCATCCGTCCTGGATTCCCTGTATTTCCAGTTCCTATCTGTACCAGTGTACCTCCTCTGGTCTAGCCAGGCTTGCAAGGTAGAATTCGTGTCATGATAGTGGGAGCGGGGAGGAAGCATTTAGGAACTAGAGGAAAGTTGTATTTTTCAGAACAGGTTATTTTTAATGCAAAGTCCAAGAATACACTGAATCGAATGATGGGAAAATTCTCTGCAATCCAGGGAGAGAATGCAGTTGCTGTCCCAGCCACCAATTCACGGAACCACCTATCCAGAAGTCACAGAGAGAAGCTAACACGTCACATGGACTTTCACTCGCAACAACACCAATTTCTCCTTCTTTCTGTCTAAATAAATTTAGGTTTTGCTAAAATTGACACAGTAGCTGTATTCTCAACTTAAATAAAGGGAAAAGAGCTAGAGAAGAAAGTGGGGAAGATTAAACAGGCAACTGATGAGTTTCAATCAGGTCAAAGTCACCTAAGGTTACTTATTTATTCAAATACTATAGAAGCTGACAAGCCTTTTTTAAAAAAATAGACAGATGCTTACCCTCATCCCCAAATTCCATAAGGGAAAAAAGAACTAGCGTAGCCAGCAGCCCTTCAACCTTGTATTTGATGTGTTTCTCGAAGGCAAACATTTATTACAGAAAATCAGCCCCAAGGACCACTAGCATTCCTAGATTCCAGGTTCTCAGTTCTGAGTGGCCATCGTATCCCTATCAATATGCCCACTGATATTTTCTTGACTAATTAGTTAGAATCCAGTGTCTGTAGTTCAATGGAACCACATCACGGTTACGGGTGCAAAATAAAAAACTACCTGCTAGTGCTGGCACTGGGAAAACATTGAAAATGAAGAAATAAAAGAAAGTGAAGAGTTGTTAGCCAGAAAATCAATGTTTTCAATGCCCTAAAGTGTGCTTTAGATATTTGATGTGAAAAAGTTATAATGAAGCCCTCCTTATGGGAAGAAAACGAACAAGCAGAGAAAAATGCCTTATGGAAAACTATTTAATTTTCAATCAGTGCAGTTACGAACCACGAAGGACAAGCTTTTGCTTATCTATGGTTTGAAGTTACAAATTAAACATATTAAACAACAAACTGATTCAAGAGAATGACTAAATTCAACGTTTTCTCAAGATGACAGGTGGTACAAGTAGGTGCACAGTAAGAAACCGAGCCCTGAGGGTGCTGAAGTTCAGTTCCAGAGCTAAGAAGTGATTTTCATCGTATGATACACAAGAGTTGGTGTCGTTAACTGACTGCATTACCAAGCATGCTTGCACCACACTGAATGCAGCTCCTGGCAAAGTTCGGTGGGGTGAGTCAAATAACCCTAGAATACTATGAAAAAATGAACTTTGATGTAGCAATCCATGGTGAAGGCAAAACGCCTTCATTTAAATCGAGGGGGGTGGCAGTGGTGGCAGCAATCAGAAGGGAGTCACGCATTTTAAAACCCGTGCCAGCACCTCCACTCAAGTACTTCCTCAATGCAAGAATACTTTCTTCTAGTAAATTGGCATTCTATGATGCTCACCTTCCC